CTTGATATCGCTCTTACTGACCATGTACAGGACATACTTTTCATACTTATGTACTTCAGTCATTGATCACGTGGAAACACTTTACATTTACAAGTACTTTACACACAATCTACTAAATGTGCTCTTTTTTTTTTATTGGATTTTAAAAAATAATTAAAAATGTGTGTATACGTATGTCCGTATATACACTCTATATGTATGTGTGTGTGTGTGTGTGTGTGTGTGTGTGTGTGTGTGTGTGTGTGTGTGTGTGTGTGTGTGCTGTTTTTTTTTCACCACATACATGGTGGTTGAATTTTCCAACGACTTACACTTTATACAGTGCTAATCGTACACTTGTGTACACTTTGTATTCTGCTTCAGAGACTCGAATCCAAAAACAATTTTACTTTTCTTCCACAGACCGTTTCACATTTTGAACCCAACCAGAACAGTGACGAGCGCGCACAAAAGTTCAGTTCAGTCTTTTCTCACAAAGAAACACAACTTTAACACAGTTTCACATTGTGAACCCAAACAGAAAAAAAAGGGTGAACGCGTACAAAAGTTCACTCCCGACATTTTAGCGAGGCGTGCAGCCGGCAGCGTTGCGGCGCGTCAAATCGTGCCAGCCAGAGATCATCCTGACCTGAAGAACACGCCGTGCCAAATTCGGACGCGGCTTTTTCTAAAAGCTTTTGGGCTGACAGCACAAATGCACCTCTCTTGTGTGAAGTGGCCCAAAATACCAACGTTTACCTTTCTCTCTCTCTCTCTCTCTCTCTCTCTCTCTCTCTCTCTCTCTCTCACACTCTCTCACACACACACACACACACACACACACACACACACACACACACACACACACACACGCACACAAATCTCTGACTGACACAAAAACAATCCCTCATTTACCACAATACCTCTCACGCAAAACATTCTCAATGACCAAAAACTTTTCTCCCTCTCTCGCATACCATATTGACCAAAAACCTTCTTTTTTTTTTTTTATAAGGTCAGCATAAAAATATTAACATTATCATCTTTATTATTAAATTAAAGAAGCAATGTTTTCAGCCTGACCTGCAAATGACATAACGGTTTTGATGAATACATTCAAAATATTCTAAAATCTCAAAATATTTCCAAATGAAGAAGTGATGTCATAATAACTAAAATGATTAGATTATGTAATTGTAGATAACTAGGCCAGCTAAATCCTAATTTAAGGAAGAAAGTCAATTAAAAAAAAATGCATTGAAAAAAATAAATGACAAATTAAATTTTTATTGAATCTATCCTACAATTTTTACCACTATACTTCGGATTCAATTTTGCGTTCTATCCAAACATTGTGGATAATACTTTTGCTGGCCTTCGTTGCTCTTTGACTTCGACAGTTTTAGGATATTTATAATTTTCCTAATGTTCACTGCGCCGTCACAAAGAGCATCTTAAACCAAATGCTGCAGTCGTTTCTTTAATAGTGCTTAAGTGAGCACATTGTTCTGCTACACCGGCCGGGATTCCATATTTCGTGATTCAATGTGGACTTTCTTTTTTTTTTTTTTCGTGATGTTACGAATACTTGAGTGCATGCAGCTGTGGAGGCCGAGCAGCTGCTATGGATGCAGACCTTAATTAATCATCTTTAAAGAGAGGAAGAAGACGTAAAGACATAAAGGTGTAGTTGTAAAACAAACAAAAAAAAAAAAAACATTACTGGGATTCTTCTCATTTTTCCCAGATTGCTTTCGTTAAAAACACGACACGATCACACGTTGTATATTTTCTTTTCTTACAAGAATAGAAACAGTATTTTGTTGGGTATCAGATCGATGAGGAATACAGAGTAATACGAGACCGAATGCGGCTCTGCTCTTGCCATACTGTGTTGCAGTGCTCCAATAAAAAGAACCCGTCCGTGTAATCCACCTGAGTGTCGGTGACATTTTGAAGCGACAGTAACGCGGAGCTGCAAACTGCTGCGCTCAGTTGTGGCCTGTCAAAGCTACATAGCGACCTACCTACATCCATCTCTATTCATCCAGCGCTTTCACAACAGCATGAGTTATTCGTGTTGGAAAGTTGAAAAACCACGAAATGTCACCGTTTTGATGTTGACGTTTTGGAACTGTTCGGGTGTTATGCCACCCAGCGCCTTCCTCGTGGGGTGCTGGCGTTACAAATCTTGACCCTTGATTTCTTACCAGAGCTGTCCAATTCTTTCTTTTGAACTTTTTGGCCTCACGAGAGTTAAAGAATCGGCCCCAGGAAAGGGCAAGGCTGCTGAGTGCAGCAGAGCGGGCGCGCGTGTGCCAGCGAATGACGGAAATATGCTTCGGTCACGCCTTGAGCGACGACGAGCCACTTCTATACTCCTTGTAGGCTTCCTAATGGCCACTTCTGTGCGCTCTTTTAGACCACCAACGTGTCTGTTTTATAAACCACAAATCACCTTTCCATTGTCACTGTCGGGTGGTCGCTGTCAGTACTGAATAGTCAGTCCCGGAATGTCGTTTTTATGCATTATGAACCAATCTCAAACTCACTCTGCAGGAGCCAGGCGGCATGATGTAACCTGAAGACTGAAAGGCTTTTTTGAGATGATAACAAGTGAAAGTGGTTCCGACGAGTACGTCCGGGGAAGTCAGTTTGGTGAAAAATGGATCGCGGCAGAAGAAAGTGCGTCAGCCGCGAAGGTCATTTTGCATGTGAATTAATTTCTGCCTTTTGGGGCGGCTCGTCAGCTCCTCTCTTTTTTTCCACCCCCATTTGAAATAGCGTCTAGGAAGATGACATCACTAGAGTTGTAAGTTTTTGAAATTTCCCTTTAGTTGTGGACTCGGGTCTACAACATTCCAATCAATGAGAGTGCAAAAATAAGCACGCGTTTTAGTATGTTCGTGTTTGAAATTGGGGAGGTGCTGTGTTTGGTTACTCGTTACTCAAGCAAGAAAATGTTATTTGGTTGTTTTTTTTTTCCCTGGCCGTGGAGATTCAAGGAGCGACAACAACGCACGACTTATTGACCGCTGCGGAAGTGTTGTGGATGTGTCTTTGTTTCTGAGTGAGTGCGTTTTCATGTGTGTGCACGTTTGTCATTGTATTTTTGGTAGAGTGTGTTGATTTGTTGGTAAAAGCATCCTTCTGCCCCCAAAGGCCTGCCTTTTCCTTTTTTTTTGCCAATTCATTTCGAATGAGGAAAATAACACGCACTCGCGCACGCACATGTTTCTGTCCTTCCTTTCATCTTGATTGCTTCTTTTCTGAAAAGAATGTATGTTTCTTCTTCTTCTTCTTCTTCGTCTTGTTGCGTTTCTATAACAACCGCCGGGTAACTTCCTCTCACAGCCTCTCCGCCTCCGTCGACTGGCCAGGCGTCGACTGGCCAGGCGTCAGTGTGTGTGTGTGATGTTGCCTGATTGCACCTGCTCCCTCGCCAAAGGCCTCCTACTCTACCGAGTAGAGCAATACTGAGTGTATTCGCGCAAAATGTCAAAACCTCTCAGACGTGCTCGTCCTGCCCCCCCCCCCCAAAAAAAGGACGATTAAACGAGGGCGTGCCTTACATGTTCATCGTTGCGTTGGTGCGACCATTGACTGTGTCAACATTTTACTTCTTCTACAAGAATCACTATTCAAGTGTATGTATGCACGCATGCACACGCTATGTTAAAATTCACTCGCGAGTGACAGTTAGCTGACAAAGATTAGAAGACAAATGTGGCGGGAAGACAAGAACGCGCACACACGCAAAAGGAAGCGTTGACTTTCTCTCAATGTGCGGACATTTTGCTTGTTCGAGTGTGTGTGTGTGTGTGTGTGTGTGTGTGTGTGTGTGTGTGTGTGTGTGTGTGTGTGCGCGCGCATTCGTGCCTTTCCATTTTTGTGCAGCACAACCCTTAATTGTTTGTACATTTTCCTTCTTGGACACAAAAGTTGCTATTCAAGTGCGTGTGTGTGCGTAGATGCGCGTGAATGCGTCTTTTCACCTCGATGCGCCACAATCGTTTATTGTGGCGACATTTCGCTCGGTGCTCTCGGATGAGCTCCTTTCACCCTCTTGTGCTGGGCGTGCGCGGGCGATTGCTGTAGGCTGAGGAGCAGGACAAAGCAAAAAAAAAAAAAAGGAAACAAGAAATGCTCATGCCTTGCTTTCAAGTATGGTTGGGATTTTCAAGTAGGGTTGTAAGGCAGGGCGAGGGCCTCAAAGTGGGCTTGGAAGACAGGGTTTGGATGATAAAATAGGGCTTCAAGCCTGGCTGAGGCGATGCCATTTGGGTTGCAAGCCAGGGTTGGATTTGGAATGAGGGTGTTGGGGTTTCAAGCAAAGGTTCAGGTTTCTACACACGGTTGAGGTTAGGTTTTTAACACAAGGTTATGGTTTTTAGAGGGAGGTTTGAGGCAAAGGTTAGAGAAAAAAAACGGACATCCTGTTCCCTGAACGGTTACTTCCATTTTAGTGAAATTTTGATTTTATTGGAATTAATCCAACTGCAAATGACTTGACGTTTCGACACTGCTTTTGGGTCACATTTTGTGCAGACTAGTTTTTTGAAACAAAAAAATCGTGAAGTCCATTTTACTGATATTTATATGCAATAAACACATGATTTTAAGATTAGTGGTATTTAAAAAAAAATAAAGCTGAATATGTGTTTCAGGAAAACAAGAAATTACTGCAAATAAACTGCAAATGTTTTTTTTGGGGGGGGAAATTTTCTGTTTTTAGTTTAACAACCTGTTTGAAGCTTTATTTTTTAAAAAGGTTCGATTAAGACTGTCCAACAGAGAGCTGCAAATAAATGTATTGATTTATTTATTTTTTTTTGTTTTATTTGTACATCTACCGGCAAAAATTAAAGAGCCACCCATTGTCAGCCATATTAGAGGGGGAAAAAAAAGGAATTGCTGCAAAAAAGTAAAATGAGGATAAGTGATTTTTTTTTTTTTGAATACGGATAAATGTGCTGTTGGTGAGCGCGAACAAGATGATGAAGGTGTTTCCCGATTGGCAGGTCCCGACTGGTACCTGGTGCGCGTGGAATTGACGGTGACGGACGTCAACGACAATGTTCCCGAGTGGCGCATGGTCCCGGCGCCGTACCTGGCCGTGGTGTCGCCCGACGCCGCCGCCGGCTCGCTGGTCTACCAGCTGCACGCCCAGGACGGCGACGAGGGGCTCAACGGCGACGTGGAGTTCTTCCTGGCGGACGGTGGGTTCACCAGTTGCGTCCGTTTTCTTTTTTTTCCCTTGCCAGATTCCAGTCGGCATCGATTCGTCTGTGAACTCTCCGATTTAGTTTGCTTCCTCGCTGCACCAGACGTGTTCACGGGTCAATTTGACCCACTGCACGTTTGGCCTATTGTTAATTTGCATGTATTTTTGCCTCCAGCACGAGTCTCCATCGGCTTCCTACTCGTCAATTCCCTCACGCACGCATACACCTCTCTCCCATCCAAAGCCGAATCGATGTTGAAAGCAACGTAAAAGTCGGCGCGTTGTTGACGAGCTGCCGCGTCCGGTCCCATCAAGTGGACGCTGACAACCCGACTCGACGTGCCGCTCGTCCTGCTTTTTGTTTGGCGGCTCTATTTGTTGAGGCTTCTGCCGCTTTGCCGCTTGCGCCTTTCAACTCGGAACTTGAGCGTGGCTCAGCAGTATTGGACTTTTCATCCAGGGACGACAAGAAGAAGCGGAGGCCCTAATTGTCCCTCAAGGGGCCGCGTCTCTTTTCCACCGTCTCCGTGTAAACACACAACATCAATCAAAGTACAGTCCAATGGCTTGTATCGACATGTTTGGCTCTTGTATGTTGACAAAGCCACCTGCGAGCTCAGTGACGGCGCCAAATGTTCTCAGAAGCTTCGTAATGCACGTATGCTCGCTTCTTCAAAGACTGAGATTGTCTTGGATGTTGGCTGAGTTAATTGACTTATTGACTAGCAGCCCTTTCAAAGCGGTTTCTCCGTATTGCCAGCAGATCCTTCGAGGCCCGCAGAAAACAAGGCAAAATAAGAGCTTCTTAACAGACGTTCAACGTGAAAACGCACCGTGAGTGACTCGGGCTGGCCCCTGTGGCTCGTTTGGAACGCCGTTCACTTCGTCAATTGCCTGTCGGCTTTTTTTTCCACTTGAAAATGCCCCCGAAATATCAAATAAAGTTTCGCTCTAATTTTTTCAGAGAATGATTAGCACATGCTAGTTTGGGCGACAATCCGTTGCAATTTTCTGACGTAGGGTTGTTATCGAAGCACCTTGCCAGGACATTGCGCTGTTCATGTTTTTTTCTTTCTCTCTCTAAGGAACAACACGAAACCTGATGGTCCAAATTATGGCAATACTTGACAACGGCATTTTTGTAGACAGACCAGGGAACAAGTCGGAAATGAACAAACGAGTGTACGGCACATCATATGTCTCCAGGATGGCGCGAAGCTGTCCAAAATGTCCAAGATGGCAGCCTACTGGCTATGCCGTTATTTTGATACCTCATCGGCTCAAACCTTTTTTCAGGAAACCAGATGCCATTGATAATGGCACGTTGATTCTTTGTACATGCTAACTAAACCCATGCTGGAAAATGATATCCCTTTAGTGGTACCGGGCATCCATACGATTAAGAAACGAGATGGGCTGATATGTCTTTTCCATGATTGTGTACATGTTCTTAGCATTATCTTGATCTTCGACTCAAAAGCAGTGCTGATGTCAAATCCACCTTTGTCCAGGTGGCGACGGTCGCTTCGAGGTGGACCGCAAGAGCGGCCACGTGCGGACCACGGGGCTTCCGCTGCAGCGCGACCGCGAGTACCTGCTGACGGTGGTGGCCGCCGACCGCCTGGGCGGCCGCAGCGTCCCCGCCGTGCTGTCGGTGGTGGCGGGGGCCAGGCCGCCGCAGTTCACCAACGCTTCCTTCACCGTCGCCGTACCCGAGAACACACCCGAGGGACAGCCGTGAGTACGCCCGCGCCGCCGCTGTGACCTTCGCCGAGGGCAACTTCAATCGGGGATTCATTGACGAGCTTGTATTAAGATGGGTGTTGCATCTTCGTCTGAGAGAGAATCAATACGCCTCTGCCAAGGAGCAGCTCTCAAAGTTGTTCTTTCAAGCAAATGATCAGGCTTCAAAATAAGTTTTCAAGCAAAAGTTAGGCTTTCAAAGGACAGTTTCGAGTCCGGTTTGAAGGCCCGATTTGGGTTTCAAGTGGAGTTTTCTTCGAAGACTGCGTTGGTGTTTCAAACCAGGATTAGGACTTCGAGCATTTCGGGTTTCCAGACAAGACTTCAGGGTTTAAAATTTGGCTTCAAGACAGGATTGGGCTTTCAAAGTTAGGGTTAGGGTTTCAAGCCACCGTGAGGCTTTTAAATAAACGTTTGGGGTTCCTAATTGGGATTTAAAGAAAATGGACCATTTAAAATTAGGGTTTCAAGGCATGGTCGGAGTTTGGATCAGGGTTTGGGTTTCAACTGAGGCTTTCAAGTCTGGGTTACGGTTTCAAATGATGATTTTGAGCCAATGGTGTCACACAAGGATGAAAGTTTGAAGCCAGGGTTCGGGTTTCAAGGCAACAGTTGGGTTTCAACCGAATGAAGGATTTGTTTTCAACTTTGGCAACTTTGCGCGATTCACGGCAACCGATCCTTTCTTCCCGTCCCAACACTTTTGTCCAAGCATCGACTCTCGCCGGCGGCTTTTTTCCTCCCGCAAAGTTGCTCGATAAACTTTCTCGGACCGCCTTTTGTGAAAAGCTTTCTTTCATCTTGTGTGCCTGGGGCGACAACAACAGCGCTACCACACTGCCGCCGCGGCCTTCAACGCCTTTAACAAGCAGCACAAAAGTGATTACCGCAACGGTGCTATTGATTGACACAGTGGCAAACAAAAGGTTGCGCGACAAAGGCACGACGCCCTTTTATGGTGTGTTGGATCATTGCTTATTAGCGCGCACGCGCCCACGGACGTGGGCGCGCCACAAGTCCGACTCGAGTGTGCAGTGACAGCCAGCATTCTTGGACAGCTCTCGTTGTTGCCTCGGTTAGGGTTTCAAGTTCGGATTTCAAGCATGCGCTGCGGTTTTGAAATTAGGGCTTCAACCCTAAGGATTTTAGGATTTAAAATGGAGCTGAGCGTTGGAAACCAAAGTTAAGGTTTACGATATGGGTTTCAAGCCAGTGCTTGGGTTTAAAATAAAGGTGAGGTTTCAAATTACGGTCCCAAGATGTGGTTCAGGTTTTAAATTAGGATTTCAAACCAAGATTAATATTTCAAATGAAAGATAGGGGTTTCAATGAATCTTGAGACATGGTTCAGGTTTTTAATTTGGGGTTTGAAGCCGAGTTCTGATTTTAAAATAGGATTTCCAGCCAGGGTTAGTTTTTCAAATTGAGGCTAAGCTTTCAAAGGAGGGTTTTGACAATGTCAGGGTTTAAAGCCTGGGTTGGCTTTTCAGTTTAGTTTCCCTTCGTTAGATCAGGGATTGTATTTATTTATTTAGTACGTTAGTTAGTTAGTTAGTCAGTTATTTTAGCACAGTTTGAGCCTGCGTCCTTGGATGCTTGTCATTCTGGCCCACTTCCTGTTTATTCTTTACTTTGACTGACACGTTTGGCAAACAGGCAAAGTGGACACTACGGTTTCATATCGCTGCTGGGAACACTATGTGTGCCAAATCATCTCACACGCACACGCACACACACACACACACACACACACACACACACACACACACACACACACACACACACACACACACGCACACGCACAATCTTGGATTTCATCTTTTGTTCACACAAAGGTGCTTCTGCGATTCTTTTCAAATTCCGACCCTGAAACTAGTTTGACTTGAAATTTGGTGGGTATATCCATCATGAGTCGACCCACAAAAGGTCTCAAGTAGCCATTCCTGGAAAGAGGCAAAAACTGAAACTAATTCATCGCCAGCCTCTCTGAAAGCAGAGTTCCTCCGATTGCCAAACGATTTTTGGCTGGTCTTTCAAAACTCGCATATGCAGGACCAAGACTGACAAAATGACATCAATAAATACAAAAAAAGAAGACGTGACATTGGGCATTTCCTTGTCTGGGCTCGAATGATTAGTTTGGCGCGGTTTTTACGCCAGGTACAACCCACTTATTTCCTGCGACCAGCAGTGGCTGAGAATTGATACACTGTCCAAAAACTGAACCCGCGCCGTCTGCGTGAAAGGCATCCACCATGTAACACTCATTGATCAGTGCCAAATAAATATTGGGGGGGAGGGAGGGGGGGGCGGTTTCGTGGGTGTGATGAGCGTGGTCTTGACAACAAGTCAACCGTTGCCCGTTTGGTTTTGACCTTACGCGTACCCGGTCTTGGTCTGTGCAGCTTCCTGGTGACGACGGCCGTCTCCTTCCAGAAGAAGCCAATCAGCTACAGCCTGCTCATCAACCCCAGCAGCCTCTTCTCCATCTCGCCCGAGGACGGCGAAATCAGCCTGACCCGGCCCATCGACTACGAGAGCGACCAGCACCGCTACCTGCTGCTGGTGCGAGCCGGCGAGGGCCAGGACAGCATGAGCAGTGCCGCAGAGGTTAGTTCTCAATCATCTTTGCTCCAACAGTCCCACGTTAGCTTGATTAGTCGAGTCGGCGGCTTGCTGGTTTGTTCGTGTTGTTGATTTAATTTGCTGGTTCTTGGTTACCCAGTTAGTTGTGATTGGTTCAATGCTTGGCTAAGTTTGTTGGCTAGTTAGTTGGTTTGTCATTTGCTTGTTTGATTTCCGATGCGTCGGTTCTTTTGTGAATTGGGTGGTTGGTCGTTCTGTTGCTTGGTTAGATGTTAGTGTGTTCTTCAGACGGTTTCTCCATTTGCTGGTTGGATGACTGATTTACTTGTTGTTTAGTGCTTGGGCTTAATTAAAAGCTCGTCTTATAAGTTAGCTTGTTGGCTGGTTGGTCTTTCTGTTGGTTGGTTGGATGCTTAGTGTGTTGTTAGACGGTGGGTGAATTTGCTTGCTGGCTTGTTAATTATCTGTTTAGTGTGTTGGTTGGTTAGATGTATATTTTGAAAGTTCATTTTTCAGTCATTGATTTCCTGGTTAGTTGGTTTGTCATTTTTTTCATTTGGCTGATTAGCTGGTTGGTGGTGTTGACAGATATTGGTTAGTATGTTTGTTGGTTGGTTGGTTGGTTTGGAGGTTAAATGGTTGGCTGGTTGCTGGAAGAGTTTGTTGATTCAATGATTGGTGAGTTAATGAGTTATTGATACATGCATAGTTTTTTTTTTTTTTTGTTTGTTTTTTGTTCGCTGACCAATCTGGCTGCTGCTGACATTGATTTGTGGCTCGTGCGCAGTGGCCAAGTGTGACGTCTGGTGAGGTTGAGGTGTGAGAGTGGTCCAGTGCTGCAGCAACGTCGCGTTTCAACTCCTCCCTCCTCTCGATTCAATCTGGCAACTTGTTGCTCATGCAAGCACGCGATGTACCAGAGCCTTTGCACGCCCGGTGTGCATGAACGCATGCACCCAAACACACACGCGCAAGCGCACACGCACTATCCAGCGAACGGTGACATCTACACAAACACACAAATCACCTCAGGGACCTGACATGGTGGGATTTTATTTATATTATTGTCCGTCTTTCCAGCCGATATTTGCAAAAGGATTTACTGATATTACAGAATTTCATCGGACCAAGGAGGAATTAATGTCAGCGCTATTTACACACTCCTGTGCGTGTGCGGGCGTGCGTCCGTGTGTGTTTATTCCCCCTGTGAATGCTGCGAGCTGGCGCGCCTGCGAGAAGAAAATGCAGTTCACCTCACGAGGTCCACCATGAAGTGGATGTGGAAGCAGAACACACGTGGATGCAGAGAACGCATACAAGTGACACAAAGAACAGCGACGTACACACAAACACGCTTTTGTGCTATAGCTGAAAGATACACAACAGCCACCCAACTTCACACACGCAGACACACATGCACGCACTCTTTTCATGTGACACACACTTGTAGCAGATAAACTGGGGACCCACAAAAGCCAGGGATGACTCACATACATACTACAGCAGACATGCATACATTGCCTGAACTCATCTTTTTGTGGCTTTAGATGTTGACAATATTGCGTTCCTCTTCGGAGCATTTTCACACCTTCTTGTTTCCTCGACGCAAGGTGCGAGTCATCATCATGGATGAGAACGACTGCGTTCCCGAGTTCCTGCAGTCCATCTACAGCAAGGACGGCGTTCCAGAAACCGTCATGACGGCCACGTCACTCCTTCAAGGTGCAAAGTTTGACTATTGACTTTTTTTTTAATTTATTCACGTTTTTTTTTAATTTTTTTTTTATTTTTTTTTTTTATGGGGAACACACCTAAGATGCAACAATGTTTTTCCATGCCTCCAATGTCAAAATTGGAAGTGAACCTAACTTAACCCGAAACACCCAGTCACTAAGTGAAAGTGGCTTCGCGGGCGGGGGTGTGTACACATTTGCAAATCCGCGCGGGGGTGGGGGCACGCTACTGAATGAGTTTGGGATGATTTTGATGGACAGCAGATGAAAGCACAAGATTGGGCCAACAGTCAGTGCTATTAGCGGCCGCGGAGCTTCGTCGCTACGGCAACAGTCGGCAAGCAGCTTGCGCGCCAGCTGTCCAGCAAAGAGGAAGTTAGCAAAATGGAAAACAAGATTGAAATCATCTTTTTTCTCCCCCTAAAAATGTTTGTGCTCTATGGATTTGAAAATATTTTTCATGTAGTTAGACAATACAGCAATACTTCCCTGCTGAAATATTTTTCCACCTTTGCAAAAACTAAAGCTTACTTGGCCACTTACAATAGTGTTTTATATATATATATGTGAATGATTCGGTTGCGATACCAATACTGTGACCAATACTGATACTTGTGACTATTGGGAGTACTTATAATATGATGTAATCTTCCATCTCACGTCTTGGCAAAGAAAAAGCGACGTCTTGCGCAAATTTGTGGTTTCCATGGTGATTCCAGTCTCCTGCAGCACACACACACACACACACACACACACACACACACACACACACACACACACACACACACACACACACACACTGACAATGTTGACTAATGAGCACAGCAGCAGCTGGTTGATGAATGAACAATTGACTTTTTTTTCCTTCATGTGGGATGAGCGTCTTTGCGCCGGTTAGCGTCGGGGGTCTCGCTTGGTAGAGAAAAAAGCTCATCAACAAACTTCATCAAGTCAGATCCAATAATCAATAAAGCGCAAATTGAAACATTTAATGACCTTTACGGCATCCATTCTGCTGCATTTTGTTTTGTTTTTTTTGTAAAGTTGTGAAATGCCCCTTAAAAAACAACGACACAATTGCTGCGCTTTTTGTCATCGTTGTCAAACGAGTGAAAAACAAAGCGAGGCACAGCCAGAGGAAAATGGGAACAGTCCAGCTTGACTTTTATGTGGGTCACATCGTATGCGAATGTCATAATTGTCACCCCAAAACAATGTCAGCAAAAGACAAATAAAAAGCAATACATCGCCCGTCTTAAGGGAAATTGTTTCGGAGCTATTTTCCGTTCAATGTCATTTCATTCGCATGTTCAATGAACTGAATTGAATTCAACTTGATACATTTTTAAGTATTTAATGATAGCATTTTAAACACGTAACGCTTTTTTTTTAAGAATGAACTAGTGATGAATCTGTGCAAATTGAATTGAGTTTCATTTCAATAAAAATATTTAGAATATTTACAAATAAGAGTGTTCCATTAACCTGCCGTGCTGTTTTTTGAATGCGGGAGGAAGCCGGAGTACCCGGAGAAAACGCACGCAGGCACGGGGTAGAGAACATGCAAACTCCCCACAGGAAGGCCGGAACCGGAATCTAACCCTGCCCCTGTGCATTGTGAGTCGGACGTGCTAACCACTTCATCCATGTGCAGCCCTTCTTACATCACATATTGGAGTTGATTTAATGTCGCTAAATTTCTAAATAAATTGTATCCATTAAAAAATAATAATAATAAACAAACTGAAAACACATCCGGTAGTGGAACTCGCAAAAAAAGACTCATCTCACTGCACTGATTTAATTCATTTGATTCAGTGTGGTAAAAGGAATTTTATCTAAAGTAAAACAAAAATGCTTTCAAGACATTGAAATTATTCATATTTATTCATATTTTTGTACTTTTTGGTCAAAATTAGGTGCATAAGTAAGCACTTCTACTGTGCTTTTTGGAACAGTAATTGCATTTGCTGGTTTTCTATTCATGTCATTCTTCAGGTTGCTTTTTTTTCTATTTAAATGAGGTAGCTTTAGAGAAAAAAAAAAGCAAAGTGAGTGATTATTCGGAAGCGCATAAAAAGGTGTCACTTGGCGTTGCGTCCCCACGGAACGTCGCGTCGCAGCAGCGCAATTACCGAATCAACAAATCAAAAAAGAAAATGTCACTTCATGAGGCCGCCTTTAATAAAAGCGTGTGATCATTTGCGAGGATGCGCCATTTGAAGCTTTTTTTTCTTTCTTTTTTTTTTTTTTTAATTTTGATTCCCCAACCTCCTGTCTATCAGAAGCCTCGATGGCAAAAAAAAGCAGAGCAAGTCACTTCGCCTTTATTCATGTTATTCAAGATAAATTGGAGAATGGAGAGTTTGACGATGAGAAAAAAAAAATTCTCGTGAGCGGAAATTATGCTTATGCATGTCCCTGATGGCGTGCGGCCTTTCCGCAAGGCAATCACTTTGCCACTTGGCCCGCATGGATTCCCAATGCATCCGATTCCAAACGTGCTGGCTCACTCGCCGCCCGAGCGTCGCCTTTGCTGACAATCAGTTGATTGGCCGTCGTGCCAAGCGCTCAATTAGCGCTTACGCTAACAGAACTTGGTGCCGTACCCCAATAAGAAACTTTCTCTCGACGATAAAATGTGAAGCCAAAGACGGGCAGTCTTAGCAGTTAGCTTAGCGTGTGATAAACACTGCTACTGGCAAACGAATGAAGCACGAAATCATTGTTTTTTTTTCATTGAAGCTATTCAATGAAAAGAATGTCTGCACAATAAATACAAATGAATAAAAAACAGGAAGATGACACCTTTCACATTTGAATAAGTTAGCTCACAATTCATGGATTCATCTCACCAAGGGATTGTGATTGAAGGTAAATCACCTGAACCAAAGCAACAATCTCACATTGTTAAAAGATGTGGAGTCGACATCGTAAATTGCTTTAATTATTACCATTGGAGGCGGCCCCGTGGGACAGTGGTTAGCGCATCGACCTCACAGTGCAGGGGTACCGGGTTCAATTGCAGCTCCGGCCTCCCTGTGTGGAGTTTGCATGTTCTACCCGGGCCTGCGTGGGTTTTGTCTGGGTATTCCAGTTTGCTCCCACATTCCAAAAACATGCATGGCAGGTTAACGGAACACTCCAAATTGCCCCGCGGTGTGAGTGTTAGCGCGGATGCTTGTTCGTCTGTGTGTGCCCTGCGATTGGCTGGCAACCGGTTTAGGGTGTCCCCCGCCTACTACCCGATCATAGCTGGGATCGGCTCCAGCACGCCCCGTGACCCTGGCGAGGATTAAGCGAATGGGAAAATGAAGGAATAAATGAATTACCATTGGATTTTATGATTATTGTGGTCTTTAATTGTCCCTTACTGTGTTGCCTTTGTTTTTTTTTTTAGCTTCTGCTTTTAATGTTGATGACCTTTCTTTTTTTTTTCCCAGTGCTTCTGTAATTGTTTGAGCTACCATTTGACTGACCGACCCTGGTGAGGATTAAGCGAATCGGAAAATGAATGAATAAATGAATTACCATTGGATTTTATGATTATTGTGGTCTTTAATTGTCCCTTACTGTGTTGCCTTTATTTTTTTTTAGCTTCTGCTTTTAATGTTTATGACCTTTCTTTGCATTGCTTTTGTTATTATTACCAGAGCTGCACATGTCTGAATGATTTTTTTTCCCAGTGTACGCTGCTTCTGTAATTGTTTGAGCTACCATTTGACTGACTGTCCATTTTTTATTTTTTTTTTGTGTCTGAACGTTCAGTTTCTGCCAGCGACTGCGACTCGGAGAAGAACGCAGAGCTGACGTACTACACGCTGAGTTCCGACTTCACGGTATCGCCGCACGGCACCATCTTCCCGGCGGGGCCGCTGGACTACGAGAGGCCCAACCACCTGTACGAGTTTGTGGTGATGGCAGTGGACAAGGGAGAGGTGGCACGCACCGGCACGGCCACCGTCCGGGTGCGCATGGCCAACGTCAACGATGAGCCGCCAGGGTTCTCGCAGCACGTGTGAGTAACGTATCGCCACTCAGGTCTCTCCTGCATTGCCTGCATTCATTTTCTTTTCCCAACCGGACCAAAAACACAGTCCTTGAAAGTCAATTCCCGACTTGGCTTAAGCAAGTCATCCAATCTTGCTTCGTCACAACATTTCTTTGCGCATGAGCAACGGGAACGAATCACAAGATCATCACAGCAAGCGTCGTGTGACTGACGGCGAGCGTGAGAGGCGGCCAGCTCCGCCGTCGGGTCAGCGCCTCGCAGCTGCTTTGCGCTTTGGATCTGTGTGCAGCTGCCATTACCCACAATGCCCGTTTCCTAGCCTCCCAATCGCCCCCGTCCCGCCCCCACCCCCTCCGGTGCCGCTGCGGCACTGGCATCTTTTTTAATTGGCTGATTTTCTGGCAGAGAGCCAGACAGAAGTGGTGAGCTGGGGTCAATCAGCCATGCCCACCCGCAGCCTCAGGAGACCTCGTTGTGTGTGTGTGTGTGTGTGTGTGTGTGTGTGTGTGTGTGCGCGTGTGTGTGCGTGTGTGGGACTGTTTGGTGTCAATCTTAGAGAAGACTCCGATGCAGTTGTAAAGTGCATTCATGCATGGTGCATCTGATTCGCACGTGTACTGACATTGTTTCTGTAGCGAGTGCACATGTGTGCGTGTGTGTGTGTGTGTGCGCGCGTGTGTGTGTGTGTGTGTGTGTGTGTGTGTATATATGTGTGCAGTTCTATTGATTTAATGTCAGCGGAATAATGGTTCCCCTTTCTCCCTGTGTAGAATTCAACCTGCCACTGCAGATGCTGGAATTAAATAGATAACGGCACTGGACAATTCAATACAATGCGCATGCACGCACACACACACACATACGCACACACACACATTTGGTGTCAGACAACAAGAGTTAACACCTGCTGGTATGTAGCTTGAGAGTGGAAAGGCGGAGAGAAGACGGACGATAAAAAAAAGAATGACAAAAGACAGCAACATCAAAAGCACCTGCTAGGATGTCGTTTGAGAGGGCGCAGGCAGGATGAAGAGAGATCACAGTAAGCAGCACCAAAAGGCAACAGCAATGACACCTGCTGGGACTTGCTTGGAGTGGGGACCGACCGACCGACTGACAATAAGAAGCAAAAACAGCAGCATGAGCTTTCGGGCTTCATTTTGAAAGTGTTTATATCGGTATTGCGTTATGGTCGTACAGAAGAAGCAAGGTCAGTCTACTCTAAATTTGGTGCAAATTTGCTGCGACGTCACTTTCTGAACTCCGTTTTGTGAGGCTGCAGTAACAGGTAGTTTTCATAAAATTCTTTGCGAGACGCAGAATTCTACACCTTGACACTTCATAAATTGTGGATGAAACTCATCTTTTAATCACTGCAAATTTGATTTCAAGCATTTTACTTTGGTACACAATACCTTTTTAATCTCACCCTTCACAAATACTGCATATTCAACTAAAAAAAATAAATTAAACAACAACAACTAATTGCTGCCTTTGTTCAAACTCTTATTTAATCAGTGCCAAATGAAGGGAAATGTGGACAAAATCATCTACGCCCCCTCTAACCTTGGTGCGAATCTCATGGGGCATCATGGTCACAAGACCGAATTTTGAAGAGACGATAATAAGAAGAAATGTTCACCAAATTCAAAGTGAAATTCCAGAGTTTTACGTCACTCCGTTCAACTTCATCAGTTGTCGACCTTGTCGTGACGTCATCTTTTAATCATGGATGAAATAAATTCTCATTTTAAAGCAGTTCATTTTATTGCACAATAAACTTTTTAAAAATCTTACGCTTAACAAACAATCCATGTATTAAAAAAAATCTGAATAATAAAACTACCAAAATCAAAAGAAAAATGAACCGTTTTTGAAAAAAAAACCCCAAAAAACCTGAACTTGAAAAGCACAATAACAAAACGAAATAAAAACGATCATGAAAACCCTGAAACGAATTGTGGAGGAAATGGGCAGTGCTGAAAGAGGAAACCAAATCAATTACAAACGCGCAACAACAACTGCAACAAATTCAACAAAAGCAATCACAGCCAGAAGAGGACAAGAGAGACAACATCTGCCGGCTTCTTGGCGTTGACAGACAGCTCAAAAGGAGTCAACAAAAAGGAAGAACCGAAGCAATAAAACCACCTTCTGCATGACGAGTGGCCCCGGCAAGATGTCATGATGGACCTTTCTTAAGGTTGCGTTTTATTTATTTTGGAGGGAGGAGGGGAGGGGGGGGGGTTGAGTCAGTGACGGCACGTAGCTGAAATGATCAGCATGCGTCTGTCTTCGCCTCCTGCCGAATGACAGGTCGCCAGCGGTGCCTCTTTGAGCTGTCACCCCCTCCCATTGGCGGACCACCGCTGACTTGGCCGCCAATTTACAGCTGTTGCCGTGGTTACCGCTCCGCCCCACACACCAACAAACTCATTTCCATATACATTTCGGATAGAATAGAAGAGATGGCGTGAATGCGGTCGACGAGGTCGGGCCTTTGATTCTCCTTGTCCAGTTGCTAAATGTCACGGTATGTTTCTCTCCCGTGGAGACGTCGCGGATTCACGCCAGCGTTTCCCTGAGAAATCTCAAGACGTCATCAAATGTTTGCGGTAGTCCTGCAATGCATCAAAGATTGCTTCCAAAGAGCAACCGCCTCGATTCCAGCGACGTGGAGGAGAGCTGAAGGCAAAAGACAATTTTTCAATGCAATGTCTTAGAATTTTCAAGCTGGCCTCAAAGTCTGGGGGATTTTGGTCCCGTGTCAACCAAGACTCTTATGGATTCCAAATTCTGTGTGCCACAAAATGAGCAATGCGCCTCGTTTGATGAGGATCAGATCTCCCATGAGAAACGACAACCCTTTGTCCAACTTGGAGGAATTATTGTAGCACCGTCTATCGAGTGTGAGGTTGTTCTCCCTCTCTGGCTCTCCTCTGTTGCGTGATAGAGAGTCATAGTGCGCGTGCGCCATCGTTTTTGGTCAAATTATTATTTTCATACGTGGACTGTGAACAGATTCGCAACTGGTCATAAAACGTCTTTGTAACTTTATTCACCTTTCTACCCGATGAATATGTTCTTGTGACGCTAAGTGGCGCTCATTTTCCACAAGTGACAATTCACCGCCAGCTGCCTGTTGATTCGTTAAGACCTCACAGGATGAGGCGGTCCAGATGAAAGCCGCAATCAGCGATCTCATCCCCCCCCCCCCACCCCTTTTCTTTCGGAGGCCAGTTGTCGCCTGCTAACCATTGGCCTCCAATTCCACAAAGCAAATGAAGTCAATAATTAAATTCAGTAATTAATTTCCGCGGGCCCACGGGAGGCTTCTTTTTTTTCCGCAGGCTGAGGCAGCGTGCGACAAAAACAAATTTGCACGCACAAAAAGGGGTTAAAAAGTAATTAGTGTGTGCTGGTGTATGTCCGAGGCGCTTTTCATTTGATTGCAACATCGATCAGGACAAATTAGAGACGTGCACAGGGTCCAAAGGCGCCAGGCCGTCCGCATTGAGCCCAGTGAATTGAAGTGATCGCCCACACGTGTCGGCTCCCCACCCCCAAAAAGAAAAAAAAACAGTGCAGGGTTTATTCATGTTGAATGTGAGGTCATTGCGCTGTCGGGTTGGATTAACCTACGAGACGTTGACCATCGCCACTCAAAATGGCTCTGCTTTTCCAGATATACAAACACTCGGTGGAAATCTCTGACCAATGAAATATGTCCCGCCTCTCTTGCCGTACTGTGATTGTGCCAGGGAATCTCAACCACCTAAATAGTGGTTAAAATTCTATGGGGGGAAAAAAAGATTTGATTGTAAAGTGCCGTGCAAAATAAAATGGTTTTCCCTCATACTCGATGGAATAATCCATCAAAAACGAGATTTAAACACGATTCTTCTGTGACAAGCCTATCTCGGTCTTGCTCTTTTTTAGCTCAGCTAATTATTTCGATACGTCGAGCAACATTGGGATGCGTCCTCCGTACGGGCCGCCCTCTCGGGCTTGGGGGGCCCAAGTGTACGCCCGGCGAGGCTTCAAAGCGGCAGTTCAAAGTGTCGAGCAAGACGCGGAGACAAAACTGAAGGGAATTTCAAGCGGGCCAACCAAACTTTGCTGGCTAAGGCAAAGGGAGCTGATGAAAAATGCATGTGAAAGGCGAGTCTCCCCCCCCTCTTGAAAGCGCGCAAACGATTACCTGCAAACATCCGCTAATGTATATGCCGGGCGTTCTGTGCTGATATTAGGCTTTAGACTGACTCTTACTGCTTCATCCCGAGTCTGACTCGTGTGTCTCCTCGGAGCCTGCCACCGAAAGGTTCTTTTTTACCACTCTCTTACTTCCCGATTTTCTTTAACACCTGCGGCTCACAGTTGGAACCAAGAAGTGGGCGCTCGAACAGAAAGCTTCTTATTTATTTATTTTTTACAAATAAATACATAAAACCCGCTTCCAGCTGTGAGTCTTTTTGCATTCCCGGCAGCTTTTTAGCTCCAAGCTGTGTTTCTGTTCTCGCCACACAACATAACAAATGTGTGCCCAGGTACAGGACTCTTTGTAAGTGTTAGCCCGCTGCTAGCTTTGTTGTCTTCAACTATCTTCTTCGCAGCAGTCCTGTTGACATCGGACAGCAGTAAATCATCAGGCACCCCCCCAAAAAATTGCAACACTTTTATAGGGGCGGGGTTATATGGTCCAAGAGAAGAGTTTACTCCCAGACCAAATCTGTCCTGGCAGTAAATGACTCCAGAAAGCTGCTAAACAAAGAGATAAATATAAACATGAGAATTGTACACCCACTATGTCAATGGTGTATTTTATCGTGCTTTCTCTTTCAGCTACCGGACGTTCGTGTCGGAGGACGCCGGGCCGAACACGCTGGTGGCTACCGTGCTGGCTAAGGATCCCGACGGAGACGGGATCACGTACCGCATCGCCTCGGGAAACGAGGAGGGCAACTTTGTCATCGACAGCCCAAAAGGTAGGCCGTGTTTCACTCCAGCCGTTGGGAGTTTTGCCATCGCAGACTGAGTACACTCC